GCCAAACAGGTCAAAACCCCCTATGCCTGCTGCCTGGAACATAAGGGGTATTTTAACAAGGCACCATTGTTATGATAATCATGCTATTTGTGGGAAAATGACAGCCACCTTGGGGTAGGGGTAGAATTCTCCCCGCTCATACAGGAGGCCTGGATTCAATTTTTGGCCAGTGCCCCTCACGCACCCATTACCCGTCTGTGGAGGCTTGCGTGTTGCCAGATTTTGGACAGGTTTCAGCAGAGCTTCCAGACTAAGAGGAACTAGGAAGATAGGCCTGGTGATCTGTTTCTGAAAGTTAGCCAGAGAACACCCTCTCTTGGTCTGTGTTCTCTAGAGAAGCAGAAACAGCGAAGCTTACATGTATCAAGAGAGAAATTTATCTTGGGAAAATACCTCACATGGTTGGAGAGGCCGGGAAGTCCCAAGTTCCATCAGCTGGAGGTTTTTCCTGACCCACACAGCTTGCAGGGGCTGACAAACTCGGGGCTTCCAGGCAGTAAAAGAGGCTACTGGCTTCAGCAGATGACAAATCCAACTCAGCAGGCAAAGTAGTGGATTGTTGGCTCACAGGACAGTTGTAGGCAGCACAACAGGATCCAGATCCACAGAAGGTTCCCAAGTTTTCCCAGGACATCCATTTATATATTGGAAGCAGGCCACACCCCTAGCGAAACTCCCTTTCAACTGATTGGCTGCTCAGAGCATATGCATCAGATCTCATCATAGAAACAACCACATCACAGATGCTTAAACAAACCACTCAGAATCATGGTCCAACCAAGTTAACATACAACCACAACTGTCACATACCCCATGGACCACGCAGGTCATATTGTGTTGTGCTTGGGGTCCCCGGGAGTAGGAAGACTGCTCCACCTAGCTAACAACAAAAGTTTTTAATCACTTGAGTGCCAGGGCTGCACTGAGTGTCTTGTCTGCATCATTGCATCCTCACAACCTTACTACCACAGTATGAATAGCACACACATACTACTGTTTCCTCCAACTTGCTAGATGAGCAACCTGAAGCTCAAAAGATTAAGTAGGACCTAGAACTAGCTGTCTTGGAAGTTGTCAGAGATTTCATTTTACTTGGATCCACGGTCAACACCAATGGAAGCAACAGTCAAGAAATCAGACACCCGCAGGGGACATCAAGCTCAATTGGCATAACATACTATACAAAACATTGTTCCACCTCCTACTTTGGTGAGTAGCGACTGGGATCTTAAAAGCTAGCAAGCTGCCATCTAGATGCAACAACGGGTCTCTCCTCGTCAAGGAGAAGAAAATCAAAATTAATGGAAACAATCAGTCCTAGCGACTGGTACACCATCTGATCTGCAACCTATGCAACTATGAGACCAGAAGAACTAGATGGTGCCCAGCTACCACTGCCATCCACTTGGAAGGGATGTAGGAAATCCTGCATAGAGAGGGAGAACAATGTGGAACAAAACTCAAAATCATTTGGAGGCAAAAAAAAAAAAAAGAAAAGAAGGTGGGGACCAGGTTTGCTGGTCCAATAGAGCCTGATGGAACCACTGAGACTATGGCCCCTAGCTGCCCTGCAGGTCTGGAATTGAAGCCACACCTGTGGTTTCCAGCTAAACAAAGTACAGGTATGTGAATTAAACATTTACCTCAAGTAGACACACGCCCTGGAGAGAACAATCATGGGAGAAGGAAGGGCTGCTTATGCACAGGGAGACAGCTCAGGGCGCAGAAGAGTATGGAGGGATGGACATTAGGAAGAGGTATCTATGGGGAGAAAGTGGGAGGGGAGCTGTTGCATTGTAAATTTTGGTCAATGACATGAGACAAAGTATATTATGTGAACTGCTGTATGAAAAGTGAATTTACGCTGTAAATCTTCACCCAAATCAGAATAAAATTTAAAAAAGAAAAGACATCAGACACCATATTGCACTGGGCAAATTTGCTGCAAAAGACCTCTTTAAAGTGCTGAAGAGCAAAGATGTCTCTTTGAAGACTAAGGTGTGCCTAACCCAAGCCATGTTGTTTTCAATTGCCTCATATGCATGTGAGAGCTGGACAGTGAATAAGGAAGATGAAGAACAGTTGATGCTTTTGAGTTGTGGTGTTGGCAAAGAATACTGAAAGTCCCACGGCCTGCCAGAAGAATGAACAAATCTGTCCTGGAAGAAGTGCAGCTGGAATGCTCCTTGGAAGCGAGAATGGCCAGACTTCTTCTCACCTACTTTGGTCATGTTGTCAGAAGGGTCCAGTCCCTGGAGAAGGATGTCATGTTTGGTAAAGTGGAAGGTCAGCGAAAAAGGGAAAGACCCTCAACGAGATGGATTGACATGGTGGCTTTAATGATGGGCTCAGGTGTAGCAAGGACTGTGAGGCTGGTGTAGGAATGGGCAGTGTTTCATTTGGTTGTGTATAGCATCGCTGTGAGTCCGAGCTGGCTTGATGGCACCTAACAACAACATGAGTGGTCACACTTGATCCTTGAGCTTAGGCATTGCTGTGCTAGCAAGTGCTCATAGCTCCCTATCACTCAGGGCTCTACGGATCCTCTTTACGTTCAAGTAAAGAGCTTGTAGTTTCTTTTTTGGGAAAATCTTCTCAGAATCGGGTGGAAAGCATTTTCCTTTATTGTCATCTGCCCACTAGAACTTGGTTTGTGTGTCCCTTATCCATACTACACAGGCCAGACCCTCCCCAGCGGGATCCTGGCCACGTCCTGGTGAAAGGTCAGATGGGTGTGAACTCTGGCCAGTGTCATGCAATTGCCCCTCAGCTCAGCTCTTAACCCACAGACACATCAACCTGGCCTTTCACCAAGAGGACAGGCCAGTGACAATGCAGGCGCTGGATAACCACAGGGAGAGTTTTTGTTCAGGGCTGCCCCCACCCAGTTCAGTGAGTTGACCCTTCATGCCCACATGACCTCTACTTCGGGGCATCTCGCCAGGCCATGGACAGGGTGTCACAGTCTGGCCCTTGGAAGTACAGTCCCTGGACATATTTTGAGGGATTATAGTGTGTCATTGTGTAGCTAGTGGACAGGTGGAACAGGGAGGCGGGGTCTCCACCCTGGTAAGAGGATTCTGTACCCAAAGGCACAATGTAGGCTCTTTATTCCAAATTTAGCAGAGAAATTGGAGGTATTTATCCACATCATTCTGACAAATAATTGTGTCTTTACAGTGGCCTTGGTCACGAGACACGTCCTTCTCGGGGGCGTAGGCAGGGTCTGTGAGCAGAGAGCACCTGTTTTTGGATCCTTGCCCTCGTCCCACTCGTTGACTAGGAAGTGCCCACACAGCTTTCCCACAGCCCAGGCAGAACATGCTTTCCTGAGGCCAGAGTCTAGTCAGGCAGCCATCTGGTCACTTCCAGAGCCAACCTGCTGCTGTTTCTGCTCTTCCCGGGGCTGTGAAGCCTGCTTCCCAGAACACTCCGATTTCTTCCGGTCTTTCCCCTCATGCTCACCTTTCCCTTGGCTCCTTTTCTGAAAATCCCGTGCTTTTAGTTACACACATATTGCACGCTCATAGTAAGAAGTAGAAAGAGGGACAGAGGTCTAAAGACGTCACTGTCCCCTCCCACCCAGTTCTCATCTCTCTGAGGTTACTGGTGGGCCGTGTATACTCTCCCTCCCCCTTCTTTGACTTTGTATTGTGATTCAGGTGAAGATCTACAGAGCAAATTCGTTTTCTGTTTAATAATTCATACACATTTTGTTTGGTGACATTAGCTGCAATCCCCACCATGTAACAGCTCTCTTCCCACTTCCTCCCTGTGTTTCCTGTTTCCTTCATTCTTCATCCGTGTCCCTCCCTGCCTTCTCAGTTTCCTCCCTGGGCACATTCTGCCCCTTCAATCTCATGTGGTTGGTTGGTCTATGCAGTGTGTGCCTCCCTGGGGTTACTGTTCATCTCATAGACTCGTCTAGTGCTTTAGTGGTCAAAGCACTCAGCTGCTAATTAAAAAATACTAGCTTGTGATGGAACCACTGAGACTATGGCTCCTAGCTGCCCTTCAGGTCTGGAATGGAATACACTCCTGTGGCTTCCAGCCAAACAAAAGACAGGCATATGAGGTGAACACTAGGTAGAGACATTCCTTGGGGAGATCAATCATGGAAGAATAGAAGGGCTGTGTATGCACAGGGACATAGCTCAGGGGGCAGGAGTGCATGAGAGGGAAGGACACAGGGAAGAGTAACTATGGGGAGGAAGTGGGAGGGGAGCTGTTGCACTGTGGTAAATTGTAGTCAATGTCATGAGACAAAGTGTATGTGAGCTGCTGTGTGGAAAGTGAATTCCTCTGTAAACTTTCACCCAAATCACACACACACACACACACACATCACACACACATCACACATACACATCACACACACATTGCACACACCACACACACATCACACACATCACACACACATCACACACACACATCACACACATCACACACACACATCACACACATCACACACACACACATCTCACACACACACACACACAAAAGTTATTGGTTTGAACCCACCAGCAGCTCTGCAGAAGAAAGATGAGGCAGTCAACTTCTGTAAAGATTGACAGCCTTGGAAACCCTTGGGGACAGTTCCACTCTGTCCTCTAAGGGCGCTGTGAGTCAGAATAGACTCCACAGCAGTGGGTGTGGCTTGGGCTTTGCTTCTGTGAAGACTGACAGCCTTGGAGACCCTCTGGGGCAGTTCCACTCTGTCCTCTAGGGGTGCCGTGGGTCAGAATCAACTCCACAGCACTGGGTGTGGTTGGGCCTTTGCAGTGCATTTGGTTTGGGCTTTGCTTCCCTGAAGATTGACAGCTTTGGAGACCCTGTGGGGCAGTTCCACTCTGTCCTCTAGGGGTGCTGTGAGTCAGAATTGATTCCAGGGCACTGGGCCATGGGGATGGCCCCATAAATGAAGACCATCCATATGAAAGACCTGTGTCTTTGGAGCAGCTTGTAGTTTCTTGTATTCCATTGTCTTCCTTTTTCAGGGTATGTTGTCAAGCAGTCGTGGGACGGTGGAAGACTTCTTCCTGGCTGGCCGGAAGATAGTATGGTGGCCGGTGAGTAGCCTTGCATGTGGCGTTCCACTTTGAGGTTGTGTGTTAAAGTTTGTTCGTTAATTTAGATGTTTTAGATACAAAAGAACTCACAGTAGCTAAATTGGGAATCAGTAATCATATAATAAAGATTTTGAAAGACAAGCCTATAAGATGAATACCAGGAAGGTATGAACTCATTAGAACAAATAACCCTATGAGATCAAAAGGGCAGCATTTGCCCGGGGATAAAGCTCAGAAGGCAGGAATGTACAGGAAAGAAAGACACAGGGAAAAGGTAACCACAGGGAGGAAGTGGGAATAGAGCGGTTACATGTGGAGATTGCAATGAATGTCATGAAACAAAATGTGTATGAACTATTGAATGGAAAACCAATTTGCTCTGTCAACTTTCACCCAAATCATACACACACACAAACACACACACACACACAAAGAGAGGTCCCTTAACTCCTAAGTAGTTTCTTACCAAAATGTTTCCGTTCAGCTATTTAGTTCAATAACTATTAGCTGTTTTAGATTCCAGTGTAAAAAGGGTGAAATGAGTAGTCCCACTCTCTCAAGCTCTGGTGGTGCTGTGGTCAAAGCACTGGGTTGCTAACCAGAAGGTCATTGATTCAAACCCACCAGCCACTCAACAGGAGAAAGATGAGTCATTCAGTTTCTGTGAAGACTGACAGCCTTGCAGACCCTCTGGGGCAGCTCCACTCTGTCCTCTAGGGGCGCTATGAGTCAGAATTGACTCCATTGCAGTGGGTACAATCTTTAAGACCCCCATTATTAATTTATTAATTATTAATTAACTGGGCTGTCCTCTGAGACCATGACCCTAAACCTCCAAACCAAGGAACCAAATCTCATGAGTTGTGTATTTGTACACACACGGCCTCATCAGCTACCCTTTTTTTTTTCTAAATTTTGTTTTTATTGTAAATATATCTATCACACAACTTTTGCCGATTCAGCTTTTACAGGTGTACATCTTATTGCCAGAGTTTATAATACTCAGCCACCTTACCCTTAATCAATGCAATTTTATTATTACCATAAACCAGAACTCAGTACTCCCTAAGCAACAACTCTCCCTCTCCCTTCCCTCCTGCCCCTGGTAACCACAAGTAAAATTTGATCTCTGTACATTGGTCTGTTCCTGTCTTTTTATATAATTGAGGTTATACAATATTTGTCCTTTTGTGATTGGCTTATTTGACTCAGCATAACATCTTTCCACTCCATCCACTCTGTAGCCTGTATTGAGACTTCATTTCTCCTACTGGCTGAGGGGCTTTCCATTGTCTGGATGGACCAGATTGTGTCCGTTCGTTCATCTGCTGATGGGCACATAGGTGGTCTCCACCCTTTGGCTATTGTGACTAGCGCTGCAATGAACATTGGTGGACAGATCTCTGTTTGAGTCTCTGCTTTCAAGTCTTCTGGCTCCACCTAGGAGTGGAATTGCTGGGTCATAGGGTAGTTCTACATTTAGCTTTCTGAGGAACTACCATGATGTTTTCCACAATGGCTGTACCATTTTGCATTCCCACAGGCAATGGATAAGGGTTCGGTTTCCCCATATTCTCATCAATGCTTGTTATTTATTTATTTATGTTAGTTTTTAACCTTAGCCATCATAAAAAACCAAACCCATTGCCATTGGGTCTAATCTAACTCATAGAGACCCTACAGGACAGAGTAAAACTGCCCTGCAGGGTTTCCAAGGCAGACTGCACCATCTTTCTCCCATGGAGTACCTGGTGGGTTCAAACCACTGATCCTTTGGTTAGCAGATGAATGTTTTAACCTATGCACCACAGCTCCTTAACCATCCTAGTGGGAATGAGATTGTACCTCATTGTGGTTTTGATTTGCATCTCTATGATGACAAATGACACTGAACATCTTTTCATGCCTTCGGTGTCCATTTGAGTGCTCTCTGGTGAAATGTCTGCTCAAATCCTTTGCCCATTTTCTGATTGGTCTTTTTTTTTTTTCCTTTCTGTGTTTCCTCCCCTCCCCTGGTAACCAACAAAGAAAGTTTCCTTCCATATATAAACCTTTCCTTGACTTTTGTAATAATAAGCTAATGCAATATTTGTCCTTCCGTGATTCACTTATTTCACTCAGCATAATGTCCTCCAAGTTCATCCACGTTATGCTGCATTTCACAGATTCTCAGCATTCTTTAGTGTTGTATAGTATTTCATTGTGTGTATACACCATGGTTTTGTTATCTATTCTTCTGTTGATGGGCACTTAGGTATGACTGGTCTCTTTGTTGTTAAGTTGTCAAAGTTTCATATATATTTTGGGTATTAGATTCTTATCAGACATATGGTTTCCAAAAATATTCTCCCAGTCAATTGTATTTTCACATTTTTGGTTAAGTTCTTTGATAAACAAAACTTTTCAATTCTTACAAGGTCCCATTTATTTATTTTGTCTTTTGCTGGCTGTGCCTTTGTGATTATATTGGGCAATCCACTGTTAAATGTTAAGCCTGACAGCATTGCCCCTACTTTGTCTTCTAAGAATGTTGTGGTTTTAGTTTGCACGTTTAGGTCCTTAATCTAATTTGGATTTGTTATTGTGCATGCTGTGAGGCAGGTATTCTGTTTCATTTTTCTGCGTGTGGACATCCAGTTTTCCCTCGTCAAAAATCAGTTGACTCTAAATGTGTGGGTTTATTTCTAGACTTTAAATTCTATGTCATTGGTCTATGTGTCTGTTGTTATACCAGTATCATGCAGTTTTGATTACTGTAGGTATATAATATATTTTAAAGTTAGGAAGCATAAATCCTCCTACTTTGTTGTGTTTTTCAATATTACTTTAGCTATTTGAGGACTCTTCCATTCCATATACAATTGAGAATTGTTTTTGGGTTTTTTTTTTTAATCCACTTCTGTGAAAGAAGTGTATTGGGGTTTTGATGGAGATTGCAGTGAATCTATAGATTGCTTTGGGTATTATTGACATCTTAACAATATCAAGTTCTCTAATCTATGAACATGGAACATCTTCCTATTTAAATCTTCTTTAATGCCTTTCAACAGTGTATTGTAATTTTCATTATATAAGTGCACCACATCCCTGGTTAGCTTTATTCCTAGATATTTTATTCTCTTAGATTCTGCTGTGAATGGAATTGTTTCCCTAATTTCCCTTTCAGAGTTCTCACTGCTGGTGTATAGAAACCCAACTGATTTTTGTTTGTTGACCTTGTACACTGCAACTTTGCTAAATTCCTCTATTAGTTCTAGAAGTTTCTTGCAGACTGTTTGCAGACTTCTTTTCCAATCTGTATACCTTTTCTTTCTTTTTCTTGTCTTATTGCTCTTGCTTGGGCTTCTTACACTATACTGAACAGAAGGAGTGAGAGCCGTCACCCTTGTCTTGTTCCAATTTCAAGGGGAAAGTTCCAGGGCTTTCTCCATTAAATGTTGACTTTTGGCTCCTCAGAAGGAAGATTGGGCAATCTACTTCCACAGAGATACTGCCTTGGAAACCCAAGGAGGGGTTGCTATGAGTCGAATTGACTCGATGGCAGTGAGGTTTTTGGGGTTTTATTTAGCTTTTCATATATGCCCTGAATCATGTTGAGGAATTTCCCTTCTATTCCAATCTTCTTTTGGATTTTCATCAAGAAGGGTGTTGGGTTTTAGTAAATGCTTTTTCTGTATCCACAGAGATGATCATGTGTTTCTTTTCCTTTGTTCTACTGATGTGCTGTCTTACAATGATTGATTGTCTAATGTTGAGCCATCCTGCATTCCTGGAATCAATTCCACTTGGTCATGGTATGTGCAGTGTAGTAAATTACATAGTGTGGCTTGTCTAGCCATTAGTCTTTGTACACTCCCTCATGGAATTTGCTGTGACCAACTGAGTAGCTCCTGATTGTTAAAGTTATTCACCAGAGGTATATCTGTTGGGAGCAGCACAAAGTAAATTTCTGGGAAGTTCTCTCTCTCTCTCGGGTGTATAGAATTCTGATGCTGGGATTGGTTAGTTTGGTCACTCTGCCAGGCTCAAAAGGAGCCCTCCTAGAGGCAGAAGGAATCTCTCACTGTCAGCTGGGAGACATGAGACATGCATTGCTGGGAAAGAGACGTGAGACACATGCACTGCTGGGAGAGAGACTCTGAGAGACAGTGGTCTGAGAGACTGAGCATGTTCCTGAACTTGAATTGTAGCCTGTTGCTTTCCTAATAAACCCCATAATCTGTGACTTCTGTGTGGCCACTGCAGTGAATTATCAAACCCAGCAGAGAGGTGGTGGGTGCTGTGAGAGGAACAGTTGGTGTCAAGGTTGATGAAAGGGCTGGAGGGAGGCAGCATGTCTGGCTGTGCAGGAACAGGCCTTGGGCTACTGATGGTGATTCTGCTTCCTCTTGTGGGGTTAGAGGAGGTCAGAAGATGCGGCCTCCCTGCCCCTGTGGCAGTATGACTGGTGTATATGATAGTATGCTGTTGGAGTTTTATTTTGTTGAGGATTTTTACATCTATGTTCATAAAAGAGATATTGGCCTGTAGGTTTCTTTTCTTGTGGTGCCTTTGTCTTGTTTTATTATCAGGACCGTGTTTGCTTTTCTATCTTTTGGAAGAATTTAAACAGCATTGGTGTCAATTCTTCTCTAAGTGTTTAGTAGAATTCCCCAGTGAAGCCATCTGACCCAGGGCTTTCAGTTGTTCTTGGGAGGTTTTTGATCACTGAGTCAATCTCTTCACCTGTTATGGCTCTGTTGAGACTTTCTATTTCCTCTTGAGTCAGTTTGAGAAGGTTGTATCCTTCTAAGAATTTGTCTATTTCATCTAGATTATCCAATGTGTTGCTGTACAGTTGTTCATAATATTCTGTCATAATTCTCTTTATTTATATTGGGTCAGTTGTAATATCTCTTCTTTCATTTCTTTTTTCAGTTATTGGCATCGTTTCCCTTCTTTTCTTTGTAAATCTAGCTAAACACCAAACCAAACCAAACCTACTGCCATGGAGTCAATTCTGACTCATAGCAACCCCCATAGGTTTTCCAAGGCTGTAAATCTTTACAGAAGTAGATTCACCTCATCTTTCTCCTCCAGAGAGACTGGTGGGCTCAAACCACCAACCTTTTGGTTAGCAGCCCAGTACCTTAACCACAGTGCCACCAGAACTCTTAATCTAGCTAAAGGTTTGTCAATTTTGATGTTTTCAAAGAACTAACTTCTGCTTTTATTGATTGTCTCTATTGTTTTTCTGGTTTTTATTTAATTTTTTCTGCTCTGAGCTTTTGTTAGGCTTGGTTTGCTCTTCTCTTTGCAGATCCTGGAATTGTTGAGTTAAGCATTTGATTTGACATCTTCTTTTTTTCATGTAGGCATTTATTGCTATGAGTTGCCCTCTGAGTACTGCCTTTGCTACATCCCCTAAGTTTTGGCATATTATGCTTTCATTTTCATTTGACTCTAGGATATTTGTGATTTCTGTTTTGACTTCTTCCTTGACTCATTGGTAGTTTAATAGTGCTGTTTGATTTTCTTATGTTTGTGTATTTTCCAGCTTTTATGTCTTTATTGATTTCCAGCTTCACATCATTTCTATTGTTTAAAATTTATGAAGACTTTCTTTGTGATCTAACATGTGATCTGTCCTGGAGAATGATGCATGTGCACTCACCGGAGGAGAATGTATATTGTGCGGTTGTTGTTTGATGTGTTCTATACATGTCTGTTAGTCTGTCTAATATTGAATGTGGTTCATTGAAGTCTCTATTATTATTATTATTGTAAAGTGGTATCATGAAAAAAGCAGAAGAGACACACAAAGGCACAAACATGGGGAGTGAGTGGTGTGGAGACACATGGCAGAGACAAATGCTTCTACAAGCCTAGGACTTTCCAGGATTTCCAGCATCTACTAGAAGCTGAAAGATAAAGAAGGACACCACCCTAGAGCCAACACCCTGAATTTGGACTTTTAGCTTCCTTATCTGAGAAAATAAATTTCTGTTCCTTAAAGCCACGTACTTGTGGTAACTTATTACACAGCCCTAGCAAACTAAGACACTAAATGTGCATTTGTGAAAATTAATTGTTGGAGGTGGACTGAGAATCATGATACATAATGCCTGTTGATTTTCAGGTGGGCTCTTCTCTTTATGCTTCGCACGTTGGCAGCAGCTACCTTTTGGGCCTGGCTGGGATCGGAGCATCTTCAGGGGTTGCTATTGGGGCCTTCGAGTGGAATGTAAGTAAAGGCTTCTGCAGCTGCTAACTTCTACCCTTATGTTTGTCTAAATCAAGCTCATAAACATAAAATTTTATTTCAGTCTTGAGTAAACAGTAAAGATTTCTTTTTCTTTTTTTTTTTTTTAACTTTTTATTGTGATTTGGGTGAAAGTTTATGCAGCAACTTGGTTTTCCATTCAGTAATTCAGACACATTTTGTTTGGTGACATTGATTGCAATCCCCAGTGTACCAGCTCTCTTCTCACCTCCTCCCTGTGTGCACTGTCTCCCTTTATCCTTCTTTCCTGCCCCTTCCTGCCTCTCTCACGTGGGTGGTGGTTCTAAACAGTGCATACCTCTCTGGTGTTACTGCTCACCTTACAGACCTCAAGAGTGAAGGTTTCTTGAGAAATCATTGGAGAATGAACTGAATTTGTGATGCTCAGTACTGAGCTTGTTTTTATTCTTCTTAGTAAATGAATGAAAAAACAAGGACTTTTTATATTCCAAGCACGATTTGAATAGAGTGAACAGAGAACAGTTAGGGCACTAGTCAGCAAGGGAGAAGATGTTATTAACACGTGTGTGTGTGTGTGTTTCTGTCTTTTGCAGTATATATTGAGAATAGACTCAACTGAGTTCTTTGAGATATTCAACGAGTTACCACACAGTTCCTGATTAATCTCCTAGGAGTGTCAGGTTTCAACCATAAACCTTATAAGATACTGGATTATATCTTTCATCTGTAGAATATATTTGTTTTAGGACATGGAATTACTTCATAATTCAACTTACTGTAAATGAATTTGTTAGTTTGGGGCTACCTAACTTAACTCTATATAAATCTTAACTCTCTCTATATATATACACACACACATATACATACATACATGCATACATACCAAAAACCAAACCCACTGCCATCAAGTTGATTCTGACTCAGCAGCCCTTGTTGGGTTTCCAAGGCTATAAATCTCTATGGAAGTAGAGTGCCTCATCTTCCTCCCACAGAGCAGCTGGTGGGTTTCAACTGCTAACCTTCTGGTTAGCAGCCAAATGCCGTACCCATCATGCCACATGCCACACACATTTATATACATATACACACATATACGTATGGACATATATATTTACATGGGAGCTCTGGTAGTGTAGTGCCTAAGGCACTTGACTGCTAATCAGAAGGCTGGCAGTTCAAACCCACCAGCCACTCCTCAGAAGGAAGATGGGACAATCTACTTCCATAGTGATACTGCCTCGGAAACCCAAGGAGGGGTTGCTATGAGTCAGGTCCGACTCAATGGCACACAACAACAACAACAACAATATATACATAAAAATATGTACAAATATGTATATATGTGCGTATATATGTGTGTATATATATGCACATATACATATGTTAAGAAGCTCTGGTGGCATAATGCCTAAGACATTTGACTGCTAAGCAGAAGGTCAGTGGTTCAAACCTACCAGCCACTCCATGGAAGGAAGACTGGGCAGTCTACTTCCATAAATATTTACTGCCTTGGAAACCCAAAGGGGCTTGCTATGAGTCTGAATCAACTTGATGACAGTAAGTTTGTTTTTTTATATATATGTTAGAAAATGCATCACTTACTGAGCTTTATATTTCCTCTTATCTCCAAAAAAGTAAAGGATACTTCTAACAGAGGCAATTCCGAACTCATTGGTCTTCATCACCTCCCAATCCATAGCATGTCTTTACTTCATATATCCAGCTCACTTTACCCCTTCTTTGCAAGCCAAGCCAGAACTATCTTTATTACTTAATTTCAGTAACTCATGTGAAATTTTGATATAGTTTCTCTCCTTTTTCTCTGAATGGCTTCTGATTTTTTTTTTTTTCTTAAAGTTAACTTAGATTGGCTTCTTTTTTAAAAAATTGTGATTTAGGTAAAAGTTTACAAAGCAAATTCATTTTCCATTAAACAGTTCATACATATTTTGTTTCATGATATTGACTGCAATTCCATGCAATATAACAACTCTCTTCCCACTTCCTCCCTGTAGTTACCTCTTCTCTGAGTCTTCTTTCCTATGCATTCCTACCCCCTGAGCTATCTCCCTGTGCAAACACTGCCCTTCTGTTCTCCCATGGTTGATTGTTCTAAAGAGTGTACCTACCTGGTGTTCACCTTATATGCCTGTCTTGTTTGGCTGGAAGCCAAAGGAGTGAGTTCAGTTCCAAGCCTAAAGGGTAACAAGTGGCCATAGTCTTTGAGGCCTTCACCAGTCTCTATCAGACCAGTAAGCCTGGTGTTTTTTTATGATTTTGAGTTTTGTTCTACATTTCTTTCCCACTCCAGCTAGGACCTCCTATTTTGATCCCGTTCTGAGTGGTTGACAGGTAGCCAGACACTGACTTTTCTTTTTTTAACTGTTTGCTTTAACTGTTTTTAAAATTGTGTTATAAACTACCTTCACTCATGTCTGGAAAAAAATTAAAAATAAGTAACCTTGGTTATGGAAATGGCTCAGTTAACCCCCTAAAATTAAGAAAGCATCCTTTTAAGGCAAAGCTCGTGTGCTCATAATAGTAAGTTTATTGAAATGCTTGGGCTGAGTTTGCATCTAATTGAAGATCTTGACCTGAATGAGATACTGATTTAGTTACTGTTCTTCTCGGTTTCAGGCTCCATTTCTGCTCTTGATTCTTGGTTGGGTATTTGTTCCCATTTACATTAAGGCTGGGGTAAGTATTCTCTATTCTCTGACTTATTTTTTCTGACAGATATTACATGTATACTTAAAAACATCCTGATGACAAAGATGTTAAACTTCTCAGTCTTCTGGACCTTGCACTGACTTCCCTAAATCCTGAGAAATTCCTGGATTACATTTTGTCTTGAATAAACAGACTCTGATGTTGTTGTTGAGAAGCTCTGGTGGTGCAGTGCCTCGGACATTTGACTGATAACCAGAAGGTTGGAGGTTCAAACCCACCAGCCACTCCATGGAAGGACGATGGGGCAGTCTACTTCTATAAAGATTTACCACCTCAGAAACCCAATGGGGATTGCTGTGCATCTGAATTGACTTGATGATAGTGAGCTTGGTTGTTGTTGTTAGGTGCCATTGAGTTGACTCCAACTTATAGCGACCCCGTGTACAACAGAACAAAACACTGTCTGGTCCTGTGCCAGCCTCACAACCCTTGCTATACCTGAGCCCATTATTTCAGCCACTGTGTCAATCCATCTCATTGGGGGCCTTCTCCTTTTTTGCTGACCCTCCACTTCACTAAGCATAATGTCCTTCTCCAGATAATGGTCCCTTCTGACAACATGACCAAATAGGTGATATGAAGCCTGTCCATTCTTGCTTCCAGGGAACATGCCAGCTGCACTTTTTCTGTAATTGTCTGTTGCTTTCCTCTGAACTTTACTCAAAAGTTTACCTCTTAAGACTTTTATAGAAAAGATTTTAAAACTTGATTGAAAAATAAATGCTAATAATTGGAACACTCAATATCCCAAAGATGTGAGTTCTCCTAAAATTGGTCTTTGTGTGGAATGTAATTCCAAATAAAATCCAAACAGTTTTTTTTGAGAAACATGCCAAGCTGATTCTGAAGTATATGTAGAAGAGCAGAAGTCTAACAGTAGCAAAGACAGTCCTGTCATTGAAGAATAAGGACTTGCCCTGCCAGATGTAATGAAGATGGCACAGTATTGACACAGGGATTGAGAGACTGGCAAGCAGAAGGGGAGAAATAGCCCAGCACAGACCTGTATACGTGCACACCTGACTTATGACTGGTGACACTGAAGATCAGTAGGGAAAGGAGGATCAACTGATTATCATGAAAAAAATAAACTGTGTCTCTATCCTACCCAAAATTATTTTAGATTCATTAAAGGATTAAATGGGAAAGGCAAAATTTTTCACCTTTTTGAAGAAAGTATAATATATCTTTATGTCCTTGAGGTAGAGAAGAGTTTTAAAACAAGATACAGAAAGTCCAAATACCTGAATGGACCTCTAAAGTACACATGCATACATGAGACCCTAGGAAGCCTGGCCAGAAGCAAGTAGAAAGTATAGGGATAGCTACACTGATAAGAAAGAACTGTACCTTTGAGATTTGCGAATCTATCATACCTTGACTAAATCCATTCTCCAGCTCATACACAGAGTAGGTAGTGGAAAGCAGAAACCTTGGCTCTTTGAGCTTTCAATGTGCAAAAATGAAGTCTAGGAAAGCAACTGGAAATTAGGTGGGGAGCCCTATAAACAAGGGACCCAAAAGAGAGTCAAATCACCCAATATGAACATCAACTGTGGCCAAATCTTTGGCTGACTGCCTGACTACACAGGTACAGGGTAAACCCCAGAGAGTCATACTACAGTAGCAGCATCTGGAAGTGAAAAGGCAAACAGAAACATCCACTGCTGCGTACCATGGTGACAGACAGACAGAGGAAAAGTGAGAGACTTTTTCAGTTTGAGTCCAGGCAGGTTAACTGCCTACTAAAACAAACAACAGTCCTCAGAAAAAAATGAAACGGATTACAGAGTGCTATAGCATGTTATCTGCAATATCTAGTTTTCAACCAAGAATTACTAGACATACAAAGAAACGAAAAAATGTGACCTACACTGGGGAAAAAAGCAATAAACAGAAATTGACTCTGAATAGACCCAGATGTTGATTTAAGTAACAGAGAAAATCTTCAAACCTACTATTATAAATATGTTAACAAAAGTAAAAGGAAATTCATATGAATTAGCATATTAATGAGTGAACAAATAAGGCTTCTGGACACAGAAACTGAAATTATAAAGAGAAAAAGAAATGGAAATTCTAGAGCAGAAAAGCATGGTAACTGAGATGAAACATTCATAAGAGGGTCTCAGAGGAGATTTAAGATGGCAGAAGAAAGAATCAATGAACTTGAAGATGTTGTTGTTGTTACGTACCACTGAGTCAGACCCAACTCATAACGACCCCTCTTTGGGTTTCTGAGGCAGTATCACTATGGAAGTAGATTGCCCCATCTTCCTTCTGAACTTGAAGATAATCAAGAGAAATTAAGCAGGAAAAAGAATGAAGAGAAAAAAAATGTTAAGAAAAAGGAACAAAACCTCAGAGACTGTGGTACAATATCAAGCAGTCCAGCATACATGTGTTGAAGGCCAAAAAGGTGAAGAGAGAGGAGGTGGAGAAGAAAATGTTGAAGGCAATGATTGACAAGGGACATATTACACAAAAGGGAACAAGGGTAAGTTAACAGATGACTTCTCATCAGAAGCAAGGAAGCCAGGGAGCAGTAGAGGATACCAATAAGGAGATATAAAAATGAATCAATACAAAATCTGGAGCTGAAAAGTTTATAATGAAAAATTCAGTAGAGTGGTTCAGCAGCAGATTGGAGCTGGTAGAAGAAATAACCTGCAAACTTAAAGATGGGTCCATTGAGATTATCCAGTATACAGAGAAGAAAGAAAAAAGAACGTAGAAAATGAACAGAGCCTAAGAGACCTCTGGGACACCATTAAGGGTATGAACATACACATATAATAAGAGTCCTAGATGGAGAGGAGAGAGAAAAATGGAAAGAAAGACTATTTGAAGAGATAATAGCCAACTATTTCCCAAATGCCATGAAAGATAGACCTTGCACATCCAAGAAGCTCAATGAACTCTGAGTAGGATAAACTCAAAGAGATACACAAGGAGATACACAATAAACTATCAGAAGCCACAGAGATAATCTTGAAAGCAACAAAATAAAAGTGATTCACCACCTACCAGATATCCATCTCAATAAGATTAATAGCCAAATTTTCATCATAAACCATGTAGGCCAGGAGGCAGTGGGATCCCTTCAAACCTGGAACTGAACACACTCCCAGGAATCACCTTTCAGCCAAACAATAGACAGGCCTATAACATTAACAATAACAGTCATGAGGAACGTACTCCTCAGAAGAACTATACACCACCAAAAGGCAGCATTTGTCCCAAAACACATCCCAGAAGGAAGGAAGGGGCAGGAAAGGAGGACAGATGAGGTGGGGAACCAGGGAGTAAGTGGGAAGAGTGCTGTTACATTGAGGGGATTGCAACCAATTTTCCAAAACAGAATGTGTATGAATTATTGAAAACTGATTTTCTCTGTAAACTTCCACCCAAGCCACAGTTCTAAAAAAAAGAAAGGAACAGAGGAAGGTGGTGGCAGTGGGATAACATGTTCAGAGGGCTGAAAAGAAATTATAAACTGTCACACAAGGACTTTATATCCAGCAAAACTATCCTTTGAAAATTAAGGAGAGATAAATCTTCACCCAAATCCTAATAAAAAAAAAAAAAAGAAAGAAAGAAAGAAAGAAAATTAAGGAGAGGTAGGCTTTTGGTTTCTACTTTGACCTGTAAAGAGGTTAGAAGTCATAACTCCCATCCTCACAACAAGAAGAAAGTTGAACAAACTGAAAAACAACTCTTCTTTAACCCACCGAACATTGAGGACACGGCAAACTACTGCCCCAAACAGTGGAGAAAGGAGGATACAGAGGATCACAGTTTGCCAAGAGTAAAACCACAGGAGCAGAAGCTGCTGCTGGCGGAAGTCCTGTTAACAACACTTACTACAATTTTTGAATTGCTGGAGGCTGTGTGTGAACCAGCTAAAGAGTTAAAAACTCTGGGAAAGCTAGTCTTGGGGCCCCCATACTTACCTAAGTTTTACTTCCAGGAACCCACCAGCTTCTCAGGGCGAAGACAGAGAAAATCATGCCATGCTTCTGTCCAAGAAGAGGGGAAAAGGAACCATTGTAAAATATGCCCAGTGTGTTCTGTTCTCTGTAATGAAGGCCAGTCCTCAAGGAAAACTGTTTCATGAAAGCCTATCTTTGACAATCATCAAAGGCTGTCATACAGACAGAACAAGTGGATACTGTATGGTTTAAAATCAGGAAAGATGTGTATCAGGGTTGTATCCTTTCACCATACTTATTCAATTTATATGCTGAGCAGATAACCTGAGAAACTGGACTATATGAAAAAGAATGTGGCAATAGGATTGGAGAAAAACTCATTAACACCCTGCAATATGCAGACAACACAACTTTGCTTGCTGAAAGTGAAAAAGATTTGAAGCACTTACTGATGAGCAAAGACTACAGTCTTCAATATGGTTACACCTTAACATAAAGAAAACAAAAAAATCCTCACAACTGGACCAATATGCAACATAACGATAAACGGAGAAAAGATTGAAGTCGTCAGGGATTTCATTTACTTGGATCCACAATCTACACCCATGGAAGCAGCAGTCAAAAAATCAGACATCATATTGCACTGGGCAAATCTGCTGCAAAAGATCTCTTTAAAGTGTTAAGGAACAAAGATATCACTTTGACGTTTAAGGTGTGCCTAACCCAAGGCATGCTTTTTTCAGTCACCTCATGTGAATGTGAAAGATGGACACTGAATAAGGAAGACTGAAGAGGAGTTGATGCCTTTGAATTGTGGTGTTGATGATGATTGCTGAAAATACCATGAACTGCCAAAAGAATGAACAAATGTGTCTGGGAAGAAGTGCAGCCGGAATGCTCCTTAGAAGCAAGAATGGCCAGGCTTCATCTCACCTACTTTGGTCATGTTGGAACCATTTCCTGGAGAGAATATCAGGCTTGGTAAAGTAGAGGGTCAGCAGAAAAGGGGAAGGCCCTCAACGAGATGGATTGACA